GCCTGATTTCCATGTGAGACAACAGTTGACTACCAGAGGCCAGCCTTCATACTTTATAAACTCTCCTTCTTTTCTTGTGTCTCTGCATCCCCTTACTGGATGTAGCTCTCTGGCCAGCAGGCTGCCTTTTGTCAGTCAATGCCATTGACTCCTTGCAGGGTCAGAGCACCAGAAGATGAAATTCCTGACCTAGAATTGTCTTCTGTTCTCAGAAAATGACTGTGCTGTTCAAAATACTGCTTTATCTCTTGTTTTGACTGAACTAAAGTCACAGTATTCTATGTCTTAATTTGCAAAGCAAAATTCAGCATGGCCTCTACAGAGAGATGCCTGCATGAACACAGGAATAACACAAAACTGCACAATGTATTTATTATAAAGTGTTTCTAAACTACATAGGAAATGAAATACTGACATTGAATTAAAATGTGATTGGTGTTCTCATGCTCCTTTTCCCAGTGTTCTGATTTCAAGCAAAAAATGTGTGGTGTGAAACCAATGCCTTTGCTTATGTGCTTCTGGAGCTCTGGTCATGCCTGGCCTGTCCACTCTGGGCTAAATCATTCCTTCTGCCTCTTTTCTCTGATACTCTGCTAAAGCTGTTCCCAAATGTGGCTGCAAAGCCAGCTTGTTGGGATGTGTAGGTGTAGTGCAAGTGAGGACTTGATCTCAGACACACTTCATGCCTATCCTAAGATACAGTACAGAGGCAGCCTAAGAATTCACCTAACTCAAAAAATGGGAATTTTCTAAAATTTTTAAATGTGTCAAAATTTTATCTCAATTCTCTTCACTATCAAAAAAAAAAAAAAAAAAGGCCTGATTTTTTTCACCATTACAAAGATAATTAAAGATGAAAAACATATTACTGTAAGTGTAACTTATATACTATAATTTTAAAAATCATGGTGCATAGAGGCCTTGACTGGATGCCATGTACTGGGTGACCCACCCTCTGCACAGTCCTCAGTCACCTCACATCAAACAAGTACTAGACAAAGATTATGGAAGAATGTAAGGCAAGTTAAATTGTTTGCATAATTTAAGAATTTAATCTGTCCACATCTCTGTTCCAATGCTGACTGATTCTGTAGTGTTGAAACAAAACTGATTTTTGAAACAATTTATTTTGTATATGGAATAAAATACTAGAAAAATTGCCACTGAGGAGGTCAGTTAACTTTAATAATGGAAAATAATTTTTGTAAGTCAAGAAGTTCCCATGTTAAAATCACACAAAGTGTTTAAAGTCTGTAGCATATGATGACTGTACAAGTTGTAGAGTTTCCATGATTCTGCTTTTAGATTAAAAATGCAGAGTTACTGTCACTGCTGTTTCAGTTAGGATAAACCAAAGATCTCAAGTGACTTCAAGAACTTAGGGATGGAGGGGAGGGAGGAAGGGAGGGAGGGAGGAAGGAAGGAAGGAAGGAAGGAAGGAAGGAAGGAAGGAAGGGAGATGTCAAACTCATGACAAATGAAGTTTGCAGTAGTAGTAAGGCATCAGTCAAAAAATAGGCTAAAAGACCATGAATTAAGGTGGCAGACAGCTCTGACAGTGAATAATGAGCCTGTTATTTGAAGGCTAAGGCTGAGATCCTGTCCCATAGTGAAGTTAGTGGAGCCTGGGTTTTTATTTGGGGCTAGAGAAGTGTTAATGTCCAATCCTCTAGGTAAGTTTGTGGGGTGGACATGTCAGAAAGATGCTACCCTGAAATTACTGCTCTGAAATGTACAAGTGTTAGGAGTTATGCAATATATTATTTTCTTCTTAAATTTTTCTTGGGAATAGTCCTGGATGATGGTCTTCTTATGATAGGGGATCAGACTAAGAAGAAAAGTTATCCTCTGATCCAAAGAACTGAAAATGCAGTCATCCTTCCTGAAAAATCTGCAGGCAACATTCAAAGACTTTATGAGACAGTTGATCTCAGTAAACCAGTAATCTTACCAACCTGTCACCCGTGTTAGTCAGGAAGATTCTTACAGATTACTCTGAAAGAATGAAATGCAGCAGCTTTTTTGGTATCTAGTCTAGCTTCTCCCAAACACAGTCACAGCCCAGAAGAAAGCATAACATTGTGTGTTTGGAAACAACAGCCCAGTGACGATGAAGGTATCATCTGTCCCTTTATGACTAAAACTATGCTTAAAACAATCAACAAATTTACAAATGTGAATCAGTAAATGTACAAAGAAAGTCGATGAGAAATGCTATCAGTATAAATAAAACATTTAAAAAACACTTATATGTGATATACAACTGATTTGTTTAAATAGGTGAATATATTATTTAATAAGAAAGAGTCTTCAGTTTGAAAAGAAAGAGGAAGGTGAGTGATCTGTAACATCATTAATTTCTTGACAGAGACAAATCAGAAATTTCTATTCAAGTGTTCCTCATAACACAAGAACTTAAAAAATTACTTTTAAGTACATACAAACTCTCAAAAGGGAAATATGCTTTAAATGATCCACAAGGAATTTGAAGATCTTACTGCCACAGAATGGCTTGGCTCCCAAAATACAAGTGAGCTCCAAAGTAATTAAATAAATAAATGGCAAAGCAATTCACCCAAGCCAATCTGAACACCACGATGCAGATGCAGCCTCCTACTCAGAAAGTCCCTAAAAGTGTGTGTAGTCAGAACTTAGGAGGCTGTACAAAAAGGAAGCATCTCTGAAAGCAGCCCTGATTATTTTTCTGATTGGCAGTTGGATAAAATCAGAGATGTAATAATAGCGGCTAATTGTCTTTTGTAGCCATCTGTTGTGCCTTGGGCAGTTTTGGGTTAAGCTGTATTTTTTTTTTTCCCCAGGAAAAATGTAGGTGTGGTAGATGAAGTCAGTAAATGCATGGCTGTAGTGGATCATTGAGCACTTTAGATTGCCACACCTTTCATATAAAAAGGCCTTGAGGTACATAAGGTTTCAAAAACATGCAGTGATGGTTTTACAAATCCATTTTATATCTGGATTTGTATAAAACTTGGTCTTGCTAGACTGTCTAAACAGGTGCATTGCCCTGGGTAGCATCTTCATCCAGTACATGAAACTAGAATGAAGCAAGAATGGTTCCAAAGATTACATTGATCCAGTGCTATATCATGTAATGTCCTCACTGGAGAGTGTGCTCCCATGTGCAGATATCAGGACCTGTGATGGCAGTTCTTAGTCCCCTGAAGTGTAACATCACTCAGTGAGCCCTGTATAACACAGCACACTGTTTACATTTCTTTGTCAATCAAAGGAACATCTGTGCTGTGTCAATTATAAAATCAATTCAAGGGATGGTTTTCACATGCCTCTTAGTCTGGTGTGTCCCTTCCTACATGGATGGAAACACCTGTCAGTATCAGTGCTGCTGTATTTGCTCCTGCCAAATTGTACATCATGTACTAATGTAGAAGATTTATGCTTCCAACACAAAGGAAAATTGAACTCTCTTCCCCCTCACTTTCCCCATCCTTTCTCCTTCTTCAGTAGGATTGAAAATTCCATTTCTTTGATGTCTGCCTTTCTGTTACTTGAAAAAAAAATAAAAAAAAAGAAGTTAAAAGTTTGTGTAAAGATACCCCAGCTGGCTTTCTGTTGATAACCCTGGATGGTGGAAAGGGTTTAGGTTTGGCAGGAAGATCCCTGTGGCTGCAGGGGTGCAGCAATGTATTTCAAAATGGTTACTTTTGTGCATCTGAGCTTTGAAAATGGCAAACTGAAAATGTTGGATTTAAGCTGGATTTCATGTTGGATTTAAGTCCCATAATAAAAAATAGATGTCCTAGTTAATCCCACATTGTTACTTCAAAATCTCTGCCCAGATCAAGTGACTTCTGTGGGGACAGTCTAGTAACAGAAATGTTTTCATTTCCAAATAATCAATGTCTTTTAGGACTGAAAAAATTATTATTACTGTACAACACTGTTCCTCTGCAACAGACTGCCCATAGGGAAGATGGCTCTGGTCAGTCCTCTTACTGAATATATTTATGTACCTAATTGTTGTTGTACATCTTGCCAAGCAGGAACTACTAGTCAGTTAAAATGCTCATTTTCACTTTGTGGTTTTACTTCCTCTGTTTTTTGTTAGACACCAATTATTACAAGTATCTTAATTAGAAATAAATCCTGTTTTAAAGTTAGGGAATTAAATGAAAACTTATATTTTAAAAAATATTTGTTGCAAGTTTAAAAATACTTTTTCTTTAACTCAAATACCACAATTACAATTGTTGCATCACAATGGCAGTATATATCTGCGATTGTGATGTAACAAAACAGGAATGTTTTATAATAAGAATTGACAATATTTGGTACTGCTGAAAGAAGAAAAGTTTCCAATTTCTTGAGACTATGAAGATGTCACTAGTGGCAAGCTTGTTGATTTTATTTGTTAGAACTGAAATTTTCAAGAACAGCATTTCTGAAGTATATAGTTGTATAGAGATACATGTTTGATATTTGACTGAATTTTTTGTTGCAATAATGAAAGTTTTATAATTGTATGTGTAATTAATTATTGAATTGTCTGTTTTATAAAAGTGTTTTCTTTCTTTGGAATTAATTTGATACAGAACAATGCATGGCCATTTTTTCTTGGAGTTTTAAAATGACTGTTTTTAAGAAGTCCATTTGCTTGCCTAACACAACACAGAAACATTGTGGGAAACTCTCGTTATAAATTTTGTCTAATGCATGTTTTTCTTCACCAAATAGTTGCAGCAGTAAAATAATTATGTTTGCCTTCTAAGTAAATAGAAATATCACAGATTTTGCATTCTCCCCAATGGTCTAGACTTTACAGCTCTTCTGAATTGCCTGGAGTTGTTGCTGAAGAAAAAATTGTAGCCTAATGGAGTGATAATGCTTGAGCAAAGCAACACAGATCCTTTTCTGATTTAGTGCTTGGATCAAATACTTAATGAATTAATCAATTTACTGTATAATATATATCTGAATACAATTGTTTCATGAATACTGACAAAATCTTTTTAAACTTGCAGCAAGTAGTGGCAGCAATAAATGCAGGAATCATACCTTTAGGAAACACATCTGCTCAGATCAGTCACTGGGACTTGGGAAGTTCCTTCTTCTTTGCTGGCACTGTTATTACCACCATAGGTAGGACACAGCTTATTATCTTTCTATAGTCAATGAGCTGAAACTCTTGATTTCCAGTGTATGCATATATTTGTTAATGGTAAATCTTCCAAATCTTCTGTTTAAAGTAGAGAGTTATTTTCTAGCTGCAGGGGCAGAAATAATAGCTGTCTGTAAAGGAGCCTAGCTGAGTGATTTTGCTGTAGAAAAAATGTTTGCTGTATGTTTCTCTCGAGTAACTGGAAGAGTTTGTGGAAATATTTTCTGGGCAAGATTTGGTCAGCTGTACAGTCACAAGTGTTAAATAGGGCATGATTTAAAGCACATGTGCATTAAACCATGACTGAGATGTGTGGAATTAAAAGCCTGTGTTCTCCCATTCAATATTATTTTATCTAAATTCTGTAACAGTCACTGTCCCTCTGAGCAGGTGTAAAAAGAAACAGCATTTGGTATTTCAGTTTCTTCCCTTTGACTATAATATTGTACACATGGTATGGAGTTAAAAACATTAATGTAGCTCATAGCTCACAAAAGGGTATTCACAAAGATAGATGGAAATTTGGAGATGAAATAATGAGAAAAAATGAGAGTAATATATAAGGAATTGTAGCACCTTTGCAATAATTATCACTACATAATATTTATATGCATATTGTGGTGGAAGAGGATGTTCTTTTCAAGTGTTGTCTGGACATTTTTTCTTTCTTTATGTAGAAGTGCATAAATACCATATTTTTTGTGTGTTTGAGTGTAAACATGTCTATATTTATTTGTATGAATATTGTGCCTATGTGATATTTTTCCACATCTAGAGTAACTGAAACACAGGTTTAGTGAAACCAGAGAAATTCTTACGTCATTGATTTGCAGCAAACTTACGGATTTCATAGTAGCACCTCCTCATGGTGATAAAAACACTCAAGTATTGAAAAATCTAATTAAAATTAAAGGTTATAACCAAAAAAAGCAAGAACTTTGAAAGGACAGGTTTGTGACCAGTCTTATGTTATCCTCTTTGGGCAGCACTAAACTTTATGTTGTGAGCATTCCTGGTCCTATAGAAAATGCAGGATAGTTGTTTCACTTCCTAATAAGGACAAAAGTTAACATATGAAAAGTGTTCAAAGAATTAAAAGGTCAAAAATTTTTTTAAAGCAGTGGAACATTTTGTCTCACCATCTTTTTTTTCTAAGTAAAACTAAGGATTTTCTAAATCAAAATGTTTTGTGATTTAATTTACTGACCTGATTCTACCAAGCCATGTGTAAATCCAGCTTAGAAGAGAGCAGGGATCTGCAAAGGCATCCAGACCTCTGATCCACTATTCCCAACAGGCAGGATACCCCAATATGAAATTCATTTGAAAATTAATATTTCAGGTAGTTTCTGTAGACCAGAGTTGTCAGAAGTAGGTCAAACTGGGCAACAGTAAATATTTGTTGCAAGTTTTTTGATAGCAACTTGAGAAAAAAATGCGGGAAAAAAGTCTTCCCTAAAATATTTTGGCTTTGGAGTGGCTGGGTTTCTTTCATCATGGACCCTTTCTGGTGGGAAGCTCCCAGCCAGTTGCAATTTTGAGCTTTTCTCAGGATCCAAGGGAAGCAAGATTATATGGAAGCTGTAGTGTGATTGGCGTTGTCTTAATGCTGTGAACCACCTTGCTCCCAGGGCTTGTGGTGTGACAGAAGGTGGTGCTGTGGTGAAAAACACTTGGAAAAGTGAATTACCTGGGAAAAGGGTGGTAAGCAGAACAGCTGAGTGTGCTTTCCCTTAATCTTTGTGTTATTACATGCCAGCAAGTGATTTTGTCTTCAGAACAGTACCTTTGTAACCTTTATGAGTAACTTTTTGAAAATGAAGACATTCCTTCCAGCTAGAGGGCATATGGTAATAATAACTTGATTTCTTAAGAGAGTCAAAATGTGGTTTATGAGCATCTCCAGAGAGCTGCCATAGGTTTCAAACACTACAGATATTCTCTGTGGACAAAGGCAGAACTGTGTAAATTCATAGAATAACTTTACAGAAATAATTTGTAAATGGGGTTTGATAAATATGAATAAAATTTGTAAATATTACATTCTTATACCTTAAGGTAGCCACAAGAAAATTATTTTTCTATATACCTTAAGAAGTACTTGCATATGAGGAAAGGGATTACTAACATTTAGAGACAATGATAGCTTTCCAGTGTTGCAGCAGATTTTGTAGCTTTCCAAACCACTTATTACTATAATTTTACCATATCACTTAGCCCACACTCTTCCTGTTGATGTGTAAGAATCTGAGATGTTCAAATGGAATCAGTAGTCTATGAATAGAATTTCTCAAACCTTCCTTTAATGAAAGCAAAGCCTTTTCTTACTGGCATGCAAGTAGCACTTGCATCCCACAAATATTTGGTTTCTGGGGAGAAGGTAATAAATAAAGCCTTCGGCATCTGCCTAAGCAATAAATAGCTGTTTTGCAGTTACTGTTCTTGTATCCCAGTAGTGAACACTGACATGAAAAGTATTGGCTATCTGTTTCGGTGGCTGCTGGAGCAGACTGGAACCATCTTCTGGATCTCCTGTAGGTTTCTGAAAGGCACTCTTATGGTGCCATTAATTCTCTAGAGTTCCAAAGCCAGCTCACAGAAGCAGAGGCAACACTTCAGAAAACGTGGCTTAGTATTTATGTAACACTTTCTGAAATCTGTTATAATCCTTCATGCGACTCAATAAATGTTAGTCTGCCTAATATAAAATTAGCAAAACCAGTTTGAATAGAATATGATGTGATACTGCTACTAGATGTTTTCTAAAAAGTGGATTTAGTTGAGAGTCATAATCAAACAGTTTCACAAGGCTTTCTTTAGAACAGGTCCTTGGTTTTAGCTTTGCATTTACTACTGTGCTACAGCACAGAACTTGTTTCAGGAAGGGTTATAGCTTTGGCTGGCTTAGTTAGGTGTTCTTGCTTGTGAATATGTTTCCAGAACAAATATACCTCATCTCAACAAAGAGATGTGAAATTGCATGATTATTAGTCTGTGCATATGGAATGGTTTCAGACAGTCTCTTAGAGGGAAAAGGGTAACAGAGGTAAATAGGAATATGAAATTATCTATGAAAAATATTGTTGCATTGTTCCTGGATACTGTGCATGCTGCAAAGTACAAAAGAACCTCTTTTTGTCTACCTGAAAATGTCATTATCCAGTCAGTCCTGCTCCAAGACCACATGACCAAAGAAAAGAAAAAAGAAGGTTGAGGAGAAAAGAAGAAAAATGGTAACCTAATCATAAAGCTGGAGATAATGCTGAGGAGGAAGGGAAAATAACCTTTATGCCTTTTTTTTTTTCCCCTCTCTTTTTAGTCTGAGAGCTCATTGCTGGTACTGTGCATGATTTGTAACCTCTGGTGCATTTCCTTCAATAGGTAGCTGGACTCAGAAATGGGCATACAGACACAGCCTGTACACACCCCAGTTTCCCCCAGATTTATGTTTTAGGGCTGGGGAAAGTTTTATATTGGCAGTAGGGTAAAAAAGCAGACCTGTCATTTTGAAGCTTGAGACCTGTGTCTAGTAAATTGGAAAAACAGAGAAGACATGCCAAGGCCTTGAGCTCAGCAAGTTGTTTTCCCAAATGGCTGGTGTCTCAGCACATAAAAAAATGCAGCGTCCTCAGTAATACAAGAAACTGCATGGCGAGAACTTCTACTAGCCTGCTATGGATCTTCATCTAAAAGACCTGCATTATTTCCACTCTTAGTCCAGACAGCCTGTCATGATTTTTTCAAGCACTGCAAGGTAGACATATGGGAAGAGTGTTTATTCAGCCTCCTGGAAGATGGAATGCCTTGGATGGCAGTGGAGAGCAGGGTGGCAGTGCTACCAGGTAGCTGTGGTTTGCCAGAGTCCATCCTTTCAAACAGAGCTCCTTTAATGCCTTAGCACTCAAGGATGCATCGCAGCCCCACTGATGTCCAAATCCAACGGTTGCCAAAAACTGGGTCCAACAAATCCAAAAAGGAAGAACACATAATTTCTTCTTGTCCATTTCCACTTTCGTTGCCACCAGCCCTTGATTTTCGAACCCAACATCTGGTGTTCACTGGAAACTGAACCTTTTGAGAAGTTTATCATGACTAACGTCTTTAATTTAGGTTCATTAAGCTAGTTATGGGAATATGGGGATTTGGGGTCCAAAAGTGTAGCAACCATTATTAAAGTGTGCAAAAGAATGTGAATATTTAAAAAAAAAAATAGAAAAAGAAAATAGAAAAAGAAAATAAATTAGTAAATATTTACATTTAAGGGAACATCTTCAGATGTGATACTGAAGATACTGAAAAATAGGTTTATGTTTTTGACTAGAAATTTCAACCTGATTTGTCATTTTTAAAGCTGCAATTAGTTATATAGCTTCAAATGCAATTTCATTTTAAGGAACCGTTCCTTCTGTCATTTTCCCACTGGCTGGACAAAAGATTTGCTTGTGAAGGCAGGGTATTTTACAAAGTCTTATTACATTGCTTGTTGATTTGAAACAATAATAAAATCCTGCTGCTAAAACTGTCCCTTCTGGCACCATTCCAGTGCATTTTTGAAATACAAGGTAACAGAATAATGTGCTGACAACTAAAATATACAAAACACTTTTGATGTTACAAAAAGACAAATATTGTTCATAATGAGATGTATTACCTATTATGTCAGATAATCATAAAGCTAAAAATGTGCAAATGACATTGAAAATTTGTTCTCCGAGTTCAGAAAAGTAAGAAGCATCACATTATCTTAGAACATGTTATTTTTTAAATTTGTTTGTGCCACCAAGAAGAAACAAGGATTTTGAGGTTGAGCATAAAAGCTTCATTTTACAAGACTGCAGCTTATCAGAGTGTAAATACTTGGATTTCTGTTTATGTATTTGTAAGGGAAGAGAGAAGAAGCAAGCAAAAGAAAGTGAAGTGCAAATGCTGAGGTGATTGAGGAGGGGATTGGAGAAAAACTCCTGAAATTAAAAACCACAAC